TCTCATTGGCCTGAGAGGGATCCGGTTTACTAGTTGGACCACAAACCAATTGTTTATTAGAGAATCAGTGAGACATAAGAAACAAGAAGTAACTTTAGGGGTAAAACGGTAAATTGACCCAACTCTAGTTACGAACAACCTGTGAAGGATCGACTTACTAATCATGGCTATATCAAATGGACAGAAATATATCTATAGTGAGGGGAGTGCAACTACTAGGCTATAGTGGAATGTCCTAGTACTTAACGAATGTTGGTTAACAAAGTTAATGAGTTTAACCAGTTAATCTTGGATCGTTGGAGCCATGATGTATAGGTCCATTAGGTCCCTCTGCTAACTCATATCGGACTAAACCATAGAACAGTGTGACGAGTGAGTTCAAAATGTTCGAATTCAAATTAGGGAGAATGCACTACATATATACGATATATTTAACCACGTTTTTGTTTTATTTACGAATTAAACAAAAAGAGAGAATCTAAGATATTTAAATATCTTAATCAAATATGTGTAGGAATTAATTGGAATTGGCATTTGAATTAATATTAAATATTAATTAAATATTACTTTAATTTGAAATTTATAATTCAAATTGATTGTTGAATCAAAATGAAGAAAGTCAAAATGTTACTTCATTTAATTGAAAAATCCATGTGAGTGAAATTTTGAGGTTTTAAAATTTTGTTTAACCAAACTTGCATGTTTGCCAAATAAACCGTACAAATTTGAGTGAAATTTTGATTGTCAAAATTTGGTTAACTAAGTATGCATGCTTGCCACATAATCCCAAATATTTGAGTGGAATTTTTAGTGTCAAAATTTGGTGATCTCAAATTTGCATGAACATGCAAACATGACTCTATAAATAGAGTGATCATAAAACATGAAATGTCTTCTTATTGGTGAAAAACCATGAGAAAAACCTCTCACAAACACTCTTTTCATATATACAAAATCCCTACCAAGTTTAGTCACTCACCGGATTTCACAATCCCGTTCTAAGGTCGGAGGATAGTGGAGAAGACACTAGTGGTGGTTCGAAATCGGTTCGTGAGGAAAAAAGAATTTGAACTACAAAAGGTTAGTATTCAAACTCATTAAGTTTTAATACTCATGAACATGCTAGTTATTTACTATAATTGATGTTCTAAAAGTGTCTAAGATTCAAATTGCTTCCGCATGTGTTATATTACCACCATCATTATAATCTCATGTATTTGCTAAAACCACCCGACATAAATGAAGTTCTCAAATAATCAAATAAATTATAAAAGATAGGGGAATAACAATAAATGAAAAGAGCCGGTAATAAAAGGTAAACATGATACCTATGGTGAGCTAGAAGACAAATATTCTATAATAAAAGATCAAATATGTTATATATGGTAAGTTATAATTTAGGACTAAATATCCTTAACATTAAAGAAAGACTTCTGACCTCATGAACCATTAGTATGTAATCATAAGAAAGAATATTTGAAGCATTACGTTGTTGTTGCTGCATGGCTAAACTATTGCAAACATACTAAAAAGGTTCCTCTCAATTTTCACAAAATTTACATTAATCTTTGAAGATTCAATCTAGCTAGTTTTCATAACACTACATTGTCCTCGGGCACTAAGATTATTTCCAATTTACACATTTCACAACTCAAATTTTCATATTTCTTTTCTAATTTCTTTGTGTTGACTTTGTTGCCCAACAATTGGTGTATTCCCCTCATTGACCTTATTATGATAATATTTTATATGAACCAAGAGACATCAATCATACAATATTCTTCAATGAAGATATGAAGAAAATATTGTTGAAATTATCAAAAGATATTTCAATTCATGGCACATTGAAGAAGAATGAAGTTTCATGTTATAAATTTTGGGTGGATTACATTTTAGAGTTATTTAGAGTTATTGTATTTCATTAATGTATTTTAAGACTTTTTATTTACTTTAGGTTACAATTACATAATGGTTAATTATAACCATTAAGTATGAATGTTACAACTCTTGGAATGCCTTTAATAGTTTCATTCTGAGACTATATAAAGTCATGTATGTTGTATTTGTAGGGAGACTTAGAAAATATAGTAAAAGGAGCACTTGTGCTTTTCTTTAGCCAATGGCTAAGTTTCTTTGCAATTCTATGTAGTTTAGGTTGCATGCAGAATCATTCAAGCTTGACATGATCAATCTTGCTTGTGGAGTGATTTGAATCTCAAACAAGTGTTTTTGCGTTGAGATATTTGATCAACAAGAATCATTCAAGCTAGACATGATCGATCTTGCTTGTGGAGTGATTCGAATCTCAAACAATGTTCTTGCCTTGAGATATTCAATCAACAAGGTAATCCGAATCTTACTCCCCTTATAGTGATTTCTTAACTTATCAATATTTGTATAATTATGAACTCAAATATTTAGAAACATTATCTTTTTAATATATTATACTACTTTTTCTATTTTGTAATGTGTCTGGAGTAGCAGACCTGTCACTTCATACAAATGACAATCATGAAAATTCTATATATAAAAATATACTCGATTACTTTCTTTAAGGCATCCCATATATACTTTCCCATTACTTGGTATACTAGGGAAATAAAGTCTAAGGAACATAATTCTACCACTAAAAATACTTTTGTTTTATTTGGAGATCATTTATTTGCCGTTATCATGTTAAGTTTTTTTACTATTGTTTTTACAACACAAAACCATTTGATAGAGTTTGTGGGGCATTCTGATTATGAAATTCGGGACCTCTTACACAGGAATGAGAATCATACTACTTGACCAATTGTCTTTCTTGCTAATCTATCGTTTTTCGTTGCTAGTCCATGTGCTTTATGCACCTCAAGGTTTGAAATTTATCATTGTGTTTTTAGAATTTGTTCTCAAATCATTTGAATGTATTTCAATTAATATTGTTAATAAATATTGACATAAATAAAGTCCATGTCATATCATGTTAAGTTTATTTAAGTTATAATATGTAATCAGGTTCAATTGACTTGAAATGTCTGTTTAATAGGGATAAAATTATTGGTTCTTGCTTGATGTATGTCTTGAAACTGAACCGACAATGAACTAAATTAGCTTTTGCACATTTTCATTAATCCATGTTCAAGTTCTATGTAGACACATAGGCTCATGGATCCATACATCTCAACCAGAAAACAATAAATAGAAAAAGAAAGAATCGGAATTGATTGATATGTTTTTTCAAACAAACTAAAAGAAAATGAAAAACAACATAAATTATGTATCAACTAAGTCAAGCCCACTAAAATTTTTGATTAAGAATAAGAAAGAGGAATCTCTAATCAAAATACTAAACTTAGGGTAATAATTTTGAACTCATTGAAAAAATTTATAAGGAAGACTTTAATTATCCCACAATAAATTAAGAATTCAACCCATTGAACAATAAAAAAATAAATTTTTTTGATTGGAAGAGAACTAAGGAAAAAATACTAAGTTGTTCTATATTAATCTAGAACTTTGGTTTTGAGTAATCCATGGATCATACCAATCAAACTATTTCTTTTAAATTTGAATAAAAATACAAATTCCATTATTAGTAAAAATTAAAAAAAAAAAGTAATTGGAAAGAAAAAAAAAAAATCTCCGGTAATACTAGCCAAGAAAAAAACTCTGTAATGATTTGGCTTAAATAGAGTAGAAAGAAAAAAACAATACAACAAAAACAAAGAAAGGTGAACTTTATTTCTTCCTAAATAGATATTTTATTTTTCAATTGAGATGGGATAATTCCTGAATTGGCATGAATAATATCAATGTTAAAATTTACTGTATCTTGTATTTAAAGATGAGAAATGAATTTGGAGATTCTGATAGTTCCAAAGGAGTTTGAGGTTAATAAGGAATTATTAAAAAATAAATATTTATTATTGAACATGTTCGTCTATTGTACAAAATGATGGACAATTTATTATATATCAAACCATAGGTATTTTATTAGTTCATAAAAATAAGTACTAAATTAATCAAAAATATCAAGAAAAAGACTATCCTTACCCGAAGATTTTTAGTAAATCCATTGCAATAAATCAAAAAATGAATGAAAACAGAACCAAAAATCATTATGATTTACTTCGGGAAAACTTCCTATCACCCAGAAGTAAAATCATACCACTAGACCAAATGCTCTTATAGTGGATCTATCATTTTTAGTTGCCCGTGTGTATATGTTTTCCGCACCTCAATATATCAAATTTATCCACATATTTTTGTGCT